ATGATAAAAATACTAAGGAAATAGAAGTTGGAGGAATACTGTTCCAACATGATAAAAAATATATATATGTATCTTAGTTGTAAAGCTAGCACCTTATTTAGTAAGGGAGCAATACATGCATTTTCTAAGATCCAGAAAAAAGCAAGCATGCTTACTATCTCTACTACTTTGCAACATAGTCTATAGGTATAGCCATGCAGTTTGGCAAGATAAATTAATTAGAGGTATGGGGTAGGTAAAGAATAAAAACTTCTCTATTTGCCGGTTATGTGATTAGTATGCATGGAAAATTAGTCAATGTGAAAACTAACTCAAACAGAAAAATAATTTAGTGAAATAGGATCCAAAATTGATATATAGAACTTAATAGCCTTCATATATATGACAATAAACAATTAGAGATGGTGGAGAAAATTCCTTTTATGATACCCCAAAAGAAGGTTAAATACTGAGAAATAAATTTAACAATAAATGTATAAGACTTATGTGAGGAAAATTCCAAAACAGTTCTGAAAGACTGAAGAAAACCTGAACAATTTGAAAGATATTCTCTGTTTTGGATAGGAAGACTAAACATTACAATGATGTCAGTTCTTCCTAAATTAAATTATAAATATGGTGTAATCCCAATAAAAATACCATAAGTATCTGTTATGAAGTTAAACAAGTTGATAATAGCGTTTGTGCAGAAAACACATGCAAGAATAGGAAGACTCTGGAGGGAAAAAGAAAACCCACCACTCGCTGGTGGGGCGATGGCTTACGCCTGTCATCCCAGTACTTTGGGAGGCCGAAATGAGTGGATCACCTGAGGTCAGGAGTTTGAGACCAGCCTGGCCAACATGGTGAAACTCCGTGTCTACTAAAAATACAAAAATTAGCTGGGCATGGTGGTGGGCACTTGTAATCCCAGCTACTCAGGAGGAGGAGGCTGAGGCAAGAAAATCGTTTGAACCTGGGAGGCGGAGGTTGCAGTGAGCCAAGGTTACACCATTGCACTCCAGGCTGGGGGACACAGCACGACTCTGTCTCCAAAAAAAAAAAAAAAAATGAGGAAGTAGTAATTTTACCAGATATTAAGATATGCCACAAAGCCTTTATAATTAAAATGGTGGGTAGTAACTCATAAATAGACCAGTGGAACAGAATAAAAAGTCCAGAATTAGAGTCAAATACATATACAAATGTAGTATGACACTATACACAAGAATAATAGATAGGGATCAAAGTGTAGAGAATGGCTGGGCACGGTGACTCAGGCCTGTAATCCCAGCACTTTGGGAGGCCGAGGTAGGCAGAGATCGAGACCATCCTTGCTAATACAGTGAAACCTCATCTCTACTGAAAATACAAAAAATTAGCTGGGTGTGGTAGCACACACCTGTAGTCCCAGCTACTTGGGATGTTGAGGCAGGAGAATGGTGTGAACCTGGCAGGCGGAGATGCAGTGAGCCCAGATGGCACCACTGTACTCCAGCCTGGACGACAGAGCGAGACTCCATCTCAAAAACAACAACAACAACAACAAAAAACAAAGTGTAGAGAATGAAACATGCATACCATGGTGCGTAGTGAAAGGATTTCTGTTACTCAAATCCAGAGGAAATAAAAAGATGGATAAAACTAAAAATTAAAATGTTTTCACAACATAAAGTCAAAAGACAGCTGCCAAACTTGGAGAAAAATGTTTATGACATATACCACAAAGGGGCTAATATCCCTAATATGTAAGAACTCTTAAAAGTTGAGGAACAATGACCAAAAACCCAATGGGAAAAAGACATGAACCAGTAATTCACACAAAAAACATGAAAGTTACTCACAAACATGAAAAAATGCTCAAACACACTCAAAATTAGAGAAGTGAAAATTAAACCTACGCTGAGATACCTTTTCTTCCTATCAGACTGGCATAAATTTTAATATATAATACATTTTTTGACAAAGCTGTGGGAAACAGGTGGTTTTTTGTTTGTTTTTACATTTCTGAAGAGAATGCAGATTGTTAGAACTTTTCTATAGGGTAAATTTTGTAATACTTAACACAATATTACATATATGTGTACTTTTTGTCCCAGCAATCCCACTTCTAGTAATTTATACCAAAGATACCTCTCCAACAATATGAAAACATGTGTGTTCAAGGTTATTCCTTGAAGTATTGTTCATAATTGCAAAATATTTGAAATACCTTAAATATACAGACATAGGAGAGGAGATTGTTGAATATGCTATGGGAAATCCACACTGTAATATTTTGCAGCCGTAATAAAGGATGAGAAAGGATTAACTCAGAGTAATTTCTAGTACATTCTATTAAGTGAAAAAAGCAAAATCCCAAAGTATATGCCACCTTTCATGTAAGAAAGATGTGCCAGGTGTAGTTTATTGGCTCTCATCTTCAAATTTACTTCTTTTTCCTGCTCTGTAAAAATGGACCTTGGCCTTTTAAATACTTTTCTTTTGCCAACTAGCACATCGTTAAGCTTTGTCAGTGAAGGGCGATGGAGAGACCTTTCAGGACTCTCAAGGGTTTTGCTTCCTGATCTGATGTGCTGGCCCAGCAGGATTCTGCAGTGCACACAGCTTCCCCAGTGCCCAGCTCCTGCAATACACTGCAGTCTGAAGCACTCCGCGCCCAGCAGCTTTCCCTGCCAACCCCATTTCCCTCCACAGCTCCCCTGAACAGGTTTTCTTGGTGCCCTTAAGGGTAGATTTCCAGCAAGTTCCACTGATGCAGCACTATAGCAACTTCTTTCTCTTGCTCCTCTGGATCTCAGTCCTGGGAAGAAAAAAGGACTTCCTTGAGCTTTTTCTCAGCCCTAGGGGTAGGGTGCTCCTTGTATTTGCGATTATTCCGTTCTTTAGTGTTCCCTTTTACTGCTTCCTTGCCAGTCCCTCATTATTCCAATCCTCTGTTAAAGTTGTTGAATCCTTAACCTTTGTTCAAATTGCTATTCATTTTTTTCTTTCTTCCTAATTGAACTCAGATTGATACAGAAGGAGATAAAAGAGTATATACAAATATCTGTTTATTTGAACAAAAGAAATGGAAAGGATAAAGCAAAACTGTAGAGACTGATTGCCTGCAGGGGTGGGTGCGAAAGGGGTGGAAAGAAGGGAGGGAATGGGATCAGGTTAGTAGGGACAAAGAGGGAGTGACACTTTTGACTCTTAGGATCATAGTGATGTGTCACATATTTTTCACATACCCTAGATGTAATCAGACAATTAAAACCAACCAGAATGTAGGGGGAACCCAAAACTGAATTCAAAAACTAAAAAATAAGCCTAGTTGCATTACAAATGTGTAATATAACACCACCAAAGAGGGTGGGGAAGAAAGAACTAAAGTCTTTATTAAAGCCTATCTTTTTTTTTTTTTTTTTTGAGCACTTCATGAATTTGCATATCATCCATGCATAGGGGCTGTGCTAATCTTAACTATATTGTTCCGATTTTTAAATAATAAAATGCTACCAAAGGCATATCTTGATATAATGTAAGGGTGAAGACAGAACTTTTTATAAGTTAGTGTTTCTCACAGGGGTATAGGTTAGCAATTCTGTAACCATTTTATGTGTTTACTAGAATTGAACAAATAATAGGTTGCCAACAGTGAAAGCTGGATTTCTCACTTGTGGAGAAAGAAGTTATAAACAAGGAAATGTTAAAGGCTAAAATGAATCCTGTGGTTTTAGTTTGGGATCAGAAGTATCAGTATAAACTCATAGTTTTAAATGTGTAACAGTAAAATACAGAAATACAGATATTTATACATGTATAGGTTAGTATACATACATATATTTCCTGCCTATGTCAGCTGAGAAGCCTAGAAGCAGTGACTCCAGTGACAATGAGAATGCCTAGAACCCAGATACTGGTCTCTAAATACCTTTTTCCAGTAAAGGAACTAGGGCTCTTACAAGTGGTCCATTCCTGGGATGAGACAAGAAAAATACAGGATGGGCCTTGAGCATCTTGTGGTGCCAGAAAGTAAGGGAATGTTCAAAAAATAAAAAATAATTTTAAAAAGGAGAGGACTTGCTGAAAGAACAGGAGCTCCTAATGACTAAAACTACCAATTTGAACAACAAAATAATGGTAATATTAGATTTTAACCCCAGAATAAAACAATTATCTGTAGGTTCATACTAATAGAAATGATGAAGTAAACAGATGGGAGGAAGGAGGCAGGTCTTCCTCAAAATATAATTCCAATTAATAAATGTAGAAGAAAGGAAAGACAGAATTGCTGTTAGGCATACACCACAGTAACAAATGTTGCAGAGAAAATCTATCAATGAATGCTAAAATTCCTGGGTGAAGTTTGAGGAGAAACAAGATTTGCATAGTGTCAAAGTATCTTCCCCGAAATATTTACCAAGTTCATAGAAAATAAGGTATCATTCTGGTGCAGGAACCTGGCAGACAGAAATAAGCTAAACATCACTAGTAAAATGTCATATTAATATCATGAACCTCTTGATATGATATACTGAGAAGGACATCATTGTAGTGTTCTTACCAAAATGCTAAATTTATTCCTATCATGAGGAACTAGCAGTCAAACACAAATTGAAGGACATTGTATAAAATAACTGATTAGAGCTGTTTGAAATTGTCAAGATCATGAAATATAAGTAGAGACTGAAGAACTTTAACAAACTCAAGGAGACTAAGGACAAATAACATGCCATGTGGGATCCTGAATAGGAATCTGGAACAGAAAAAAAAAAAAAACCGAGTAAATTAAAAATTGTGTGAAATTTTAAAAAGGCCTATAGCTAATAATACTATATAATAATTTATTTCCTGTGCTTGATAATTGTCTCATGATCATATAAGATGTTGACATAGGGAAGCTGAACAAGAGAAGGGAACTTTTTCCTGCTTTTGCTACTTAAAATTAGTTCAAAATAAAATATACTGAATGTTTTGAAGTCTGAATAACAAATGTTGAACTTTGATTTTTTTTTTTCCTTTTACATCTACAACAGGGTTAGAAAAAGGTTCTTGGAACATCGGGAAGAAACCATTACAATAGATCGAGCCTGCAGACAAGAAACATTCGTTTATGAGATGGTAATTAAGAGTCTCATCTTTTTCACCCTTTTCTCTTAAAACAGTAAACTGACATTGGCTGAGGGTTAGTAATGACAGTATGGTAGCTTTATACTGGGTATGCTTAGTTGAAAACAAACTAGAGAAACTCCTTTGAGTCTGGGAACTAGTGAGAGAAGAGGACCCTTAGAACTCAAGTGACCACATATTTGACTTTTTCAGATCTCTGCCTTTATTCTTGTTTGGTTTTATCTTGCTATTAGTATTAGGCTAAATTTATGCGTTTTCACTACCCTATTTCTGGTCTTTTTGTTCTGCTCCTGATTTTGGTTTAACCGCATTCTTAATCCTTATCTATTATCTCTTGTGTAAAACTCTGGGAAAATTTAAGATGATGACTCTTGAGGAATTGGGAGCTAGTAGACGCGATGGGTTCAGAATCAGTGTGCTGGCACTTGATCATGCATATGAGCACCTATTGTCTCTCCCACTTATTTTACTTTTATTGTGGTAAAATTTACATAACATAAACTTTACCATTTTGATCATTTTAAAGTGTTCAATTAAGTGGCAGTAAGTACATTCACAATGCTGTATAATCATCACCACTATTTCCAGAACTTTTTCATCATCGCAAACAGAAGTTCTATACCTGTTAATCAATAACTCACCAGTTTTTCCTCCTGCAGCCCCTCCTAACCTCTATTCTACCTTCTTTCTCCATGAATTTGCCTATTCTAGATATCTCATGTAAGTGGAATGCTTTTTTTGTCCTTTTATGTATGGCTTTTTTCTTTTTTTGAAACAGGCTCACTGTGTCTTCCAGTCTGGAGTGCAGTGGCGCCATCTCGGCTCACTGCAGTCTCCACCTCCTGGCGATTCTCCTGCCTCAGACTTCTAAGCAGCTGGGATTATAGGCACCTGCCACCATGCCTGGCTGATTTTTGTATTTTTAGTAGAGACAGGGTTTCATCATGTTGGCCAGACTGGTCTCGAACCCTTGACCTCAAGCAGTCTGCCCACTTCGGCCTCCCAAAGTGCTAGGATTACAGGCGTGAGCCACGGTACCCAGCCTATGGCATATTTTACATAGCATAATATTTTATAGGTTCATTCATATTGTAGCATGTATTAGAACTTCATTCTTTTTTATGGCTGAATAATATCTATTGTATGGATATACCACCTTTTGTTCTATTTATCTGTTGATGGACATTTGGGTTGTTTCTATCTTTTGGCTATTGTGAATAATGCTGCTATGAAAATTGGTATACAGGTATCTTTTTAAGTCCTTTTTCAGTTCTTTTGTATCTGCACCTAGGAGTGGAATTGATGGATTGTATGGTTAATTCTGAGAAACTTGTTTTTCATAGCGATGATACCATATTACATTCCCATCAGTAATGCATGAAGGTGCCAATTTCTCCATGTGCTTGTGAACGTGTATTTTCTAGCTTTTTAAAATAATAGCCATCCTAGTGGGTGTGAAGTGGTATTTCAATGTGGTTTTGATTTGTATTTCCCTAATAACTAGTGATACTGAACATCTTCTTATTTGGTTTTTGGCCATCTGTATATTTTCTTTGAAAAAGATCTATTGAAATATTTTGTCCATTTTGAAATTGGGTTGTTTATCCTGTTGAGTCATAAAGAGTTCTTGGCCGGGTGCCGTGGCTCACACTTGAAATCCCAGTACTTTGGGAGGCTGAGGTGGGTGGATCACCTGAGGTCAGGAGTTCCAGACCAGCCTGACCAACATGGTGAAACCCCGTCTCTACTAAAAGTACAAAAATTAGCCGGTCGTGGTGGCATGCCCCTGTAATCCCAGCTACTCAGGAGGCTGAGACAGGAGAATTGCTTGAACCTGGGAGGTGGAGGTTGCCATGAGCCAGTATCATGCCACTGCACGCCAGCCTGGGCAACAGAATGAAACTCTGTCTCAAAAAAAAAAAAAAAAAAAAGTTAGCCGGGTGTGGTGGCAGGCGCCTGTAATCCCAGTTACTCTGGAGGCTGGCAGAAAAATTGCTAGAACCCAGGAGGCGGAGGTTGCAGCGAGCTGGGATTTGTGCCATTG